GGTTGGTTCCTGTCTGCTCTAGGTTTCTGTTCTGCAGGGAAGGAACTGGATAGGGTAATGGTGGCACAACAGGCCAGAGGTGTTCTATGAGGTCAGGGTCTAGAGATGCTCATCCTGCTCCATCCTTACCAGATTGGCACCCTGGATAAGACTCTGACCATCACAGACCTTTGGTTCCCTAGAGATAAGTATAGGCCCTGACAGCTTTAGCAGTCTGGGTGGGAGGAATAAAAGGAGAACCTCCTGGATTAGATGTATCAAGGATGTCAGGGAACAAGGATGTTGGTAATAAATAATGCTAGTCATCAGGGACCCTGATGAACAGACACTGATGACCAGAGGTGATGGTGACCAGAGAATTAGGGTTAAGAGATACCATTAATCACAGACATATTAGCAGAGTGGCTTGTAACTGGAGTCGGTGGAGTCAGCAAGAGGTACCTTCATCCAAACACAACATGATCAAGAGGGTAGTGATCATACACTGATGACTGGGTGGCAGTGCTCATAGGTCTTGGTGATCAATTGTCACTGATTGGATATATCATTGATCATTGACCAGGGAAATGGGTAAAAATATGGGTGACCTGATGAAAGGATCAAAGACTCATGCTTTTGATGACCACACCAGAAAAAAAAAAAAAAAAAAGAAACTCACTGCTGTCAAGTCATATCTTACTCATTGTGATCCCTTCTTGGATTTCCGAGGTGTAATCTCCGAGGAGATTGCCCAATCTTCCTTCCAAGGAGTGGCTGATGGGTTTGAACCACGAGGCTTCTGGTTAGCAGTCAAATGCCTTAGGCACTATCACACCAGAGCTCCTAGAAGGCATTGGTGGTCAGAATCAAAGACTGGAGATGTGGGGTGACCAGGTCTATTGTAGATCAAAGGCATTGATAATAAAAGGCATTAATTGGTGATCAGACATTGGTGACTGGTGATTCCGGTGACCAAGGATATTGAGAACAGGGACCCTGGTCATCAGAGATTTTGAACTTAAGAAGATTCAGCAGTCACTTATGTTGGTCATCAGGGACATTTGCCATAAGAGGTCTTCGTGATCCAAGTTGAGTAATCAGGGATATAGGTAACCAGAGCCATTGGTGACCTAGGACATTGGTGACCAGAGACGTTGATGATGAGAAAGTTTGATAGTAAGAGGATTCTTCAAATGCCTTAGGCATTATGCCATCAGACCTCCTGATGATAAGAGACTTACAAATTATGTTCCCCAAAAATATGTGCTGAATATTTGGCCCTTAACCTGTGGACATAATTATTTGGAAATAGAGCTTTTCTTTTGCTGTAATGTTAATGAGGTCATACCAGAGTATAAAACCAAAAAACTGAACTCACTGTCTAGTCGATTCTGATTCATAGACCAAAAAACTAAACTCACTGTCATCGAGTTGATTCTGATTCATAGTGACCCCCATTTGGTTTCCCAGGTGGTATGTCTTTACTGAAGTAGATTGCCCTCTCTTTCTTCTGAGGAGCAGCTGGTGGGTTTGAACTCCCAGTCTTCTGGTTAGCATTCAAATGCTACACTACACCACCAGAGCTCCTTTACCAAAGTATAAATCAAAAAAAGGGAGCTCTGGTGGTGTAGTGCCTAATGCATTTGACTGCTATCCAGAAGACTGGTTGTTCAAACCCACCAGCTACTCCTTGGAAGGAAGACTGGGCAATCTACTTCATAGTGGGTCCTAAACTTAGTCACTTCTGAGTTATAAAAAGACCAGGATAGACACAGAGACAGACATGGGGGAAGATAGACACCATGTGAGGATCACCTACATGCCAAGGAACCAAGGAATACCTAAGGCTACTTACAAGGAGGGAGCTCTGGTAGCATAGTGGCTAAGGCACTTGACTGCTAACCAGAAGGCTGGCGGTTCAAACCCACCAGCCACTCCTCGGAAGGAAGGTTGGGCAATCCTACTTCCGTAGTGATACTGCCTCGGAAACCCAAGGAGGGGTCGCTTATGAGTCAGGGCTGACTCGACGGCACATAACAACAACAACAACAACAACAACACTTACAAGGAAGAAATAGACATAGTTAAGGCCCTGATTTGAACTTCTAGCCTCCAGAACTGTGAGAAAATAAATTTTGGTTCTTTAAAGCCACCTTCTTGTGGTATTTGTTATAGCAGCACTAAGAAACCAGAAGAACAAAAAAATATGTCTTGGATGAAGTACAGCCAGAATGCTCCTTAGAATTGAGGATGGCAAGCCTTCATCTCTCATACTTTGGTCATGTTGTCAGGAGGGACTAGTCACTGAAGAAAGACATTATGCTTGGTAAAGTAGATGGTCAGCAAAAAAGAGGAAGACTCAATGAGATGGATTGACATAATGGCTGCAACAATGGACTGTACCATAGCAATGATTGTGAGGATGGTGCAGGACTGGGCAGTGTTTACTCTTGCTGTATTCAGAATCACTAGGAGAACCGACTGGATGGCATTTAACAACAAGAGGAAGAAACTAAGACAGGAACATTAGTCATCAGGTACATTGTTTGTTAGAGATATTGGTGAACAGAGACAGTGGTCATCAAAGATATTGGCAATCAGATACATTAAATAGAAATATTGATGAACAGAAATATGCTGATATTTTACCACATTGGTGGTAAGAGACATTCATGATCAGAAATATTGATGGGCAAAGACTGTTACTGGAAACATTGGCGGTCACATGTTGTGGATGTCAGTGATCATAATCATAATCAGAGGAATTGATGAAATATTGATGATTAGGTGTTGGTGATCGTCTCCCAGGTCACTCCCCTGGCTCCTAACCAAGACATCTGTAATCAGCAGGCACTGGTGTTCAGCCTTTTCAGTCATTGATCAAAGATGACAGCAATCAATGACAGCAGTGAGCAAGACATTGGTGATCAGGTTTGTCAATGAACAGGAATACTGATGACCAGGTATCTCAGAAACCAGAGCTGATCAGTCCTCAGGAGGATGTGAGTGGGAGTAGACTGTCCTTTCTGAGTTCTCCAAGAGCCTGGTGAGAGTCTCATTGAGCTCTCAAGAAAAGGACCATAGTGTAGACCAAATGCTGGAAAACCACTGCTTTCCCATATCCACCCACTGGGTAGAAATGCTCCCTGGTGCTGATGATCAGGAAATTCAGATGGAAACAGAAGGCAGGGAGAGGAAAGACAGCCTCTCAGTAGTAAAATAAGAACCACAGCCGCCACATCCCAGGAGCCCTTCCCCTCCAAACCCTGGGGTCCAGGTGCACTATGATCTGGCCCTCTTAGGTTCCAGCATATGGGATTGGCAAACCGAGGCCCAGGAGCCCATAGCACAGGCCAGAGGCATTCACAAAAAGTATTTTATTATTCTTAACAGTATTCACTTTAAAGGAATAGGATAGCATACAATTTTTACAGACAATATATAAATGTTGTACATAATTAACAATAACTTAGTTCACTAATCCAAAACAAAACAAGCCAAATAAAACATAAAAACAGAAAATACTGTTGATTCTTTTTCTTATGTGGATACAAGTACAAAATAAGTTACTTCTCGCTGTGGTGCTCTGTGGCAATCACCTGCCCATATTGCACTTTGTCGACTACATCAGCAAACCCTTTTCCTGTCCCCCTCCCTTGCCACAACCCACCACCACTGTGTTCAGAGTCTAAGCTCAGTACATATTATGTACAGCTGTACCTTGGGAAGGATCCAGACAGCCACAGCACAGCAGAACAGAGCCCCAGCGACTCCAATGCCTCCCAGCAGGGGTGTAGCTACCCCCTCACTCTCGCTCTGCCCCCAACTCCTGCCTTCACCACCTACCAGATCAGAAAACCAAACCAGACCCCAAGACAAGAGGAGCCAAAACCCCCTCCCCTGGCCCCCAGTTCCAGGGCTATGGGATCCAAGAAATCCTCCAAAAAATAACTGTGAAGCTACAACCTCGGTTTGTAGATTTTATTTCTTTCCATAGCAGGACTTCTGTGGCAACATACAATTGACTGGATCCAAAAAGAGTTTAAAAATAAAATAACTCATCAGCAAGATAAGCTTATGCAGTTCTTTTTTTTTTTTTTAACATTTTTTCTCTTTTGTCTCAGAGTGGGTGGGGAAGGGTCTGAGGGGTTATAGCAGAAAAGGGATATATGTACAGTGTCTGTCCCCCAAGCAGAGAGAACAGGCTGTGGCTCCAACCCATTAAGGGGACATGGACCACACCAGTTCTAGTCTCAAAGCCAGGGGAGCGATCTGGGAGACGTTTCCCCTTTCAAGAAAATGTCGTTTCCTTCCTGTGACCCAACCCTGGCCTGGGAATCCGTGCGGACCGCCTGTGATTGTCTCTCCCACCGGGGCCTGCCCATCAGGGCCAGCGGCTTGGCCCACATCAGCTCACCCTCCCTTCAGCGGGTCCTTCTGGTCTCGGACCAGTCCAGCCTGGAGTCCAGCTATTTCAGAGAGGGAAGCCAGAGGTGCACAGGGTATAGGCTGAGAACCCCCTAGGTCTCCCTAAGAGACCTGGCAAGCAGACCAGCTGAGCGGCATTTGGCCCAAGGAGGGCTTGGCCAGAACTTGGAACAGCTCGGGCCTCTAAGTACTCAGGTCCTTGTTACAAACAAGAGCAAAATAAATTATTTTTGCCTACTCCTTTTTCCTTCTAAAAACAGTTTTCTTCGATTTTCCCTTGCCCTTTCTTTGCTCTTCAGAAACTTGTCCTTTTGGTTTTCTGAACAACTGTTTGTGATGGCAATCCCACCTGAGCAGCCTCTCAGCCCAGGGGGTGGGATTCACAGTAAATGCTGACAGGTGGGGTGGGCACCAGTCATGGGCTCTGAGGGAGATGGAGGCCTTGGGCTCTGCTGGGTAGGTAGGAGTGGCATCAGTCTTCGAGGAGGAGTGGCCAGCCAAGGGTTTGTCACCCATCCTGGGGGTGCCCAGCCTCACTCACTTAGCCTGCACCCTGCTCTACATCTGTCTGTCTGTTCAGGGGAAGACTGTTCCTAGCCCATGGCGGTCACCATGCTGGAAGGGTGGGGGTGGCCAAAGGAGAGGCTGGAAGAGGGGTGGATGGGTGTCGGCGTGGGCAAGATGTGTCCAGAGTGGCTGAAGGGTGGGAGGTGACCCACAGGTGCCATGTGTCCAGCCAGAGCAGCCGCGCTGAAGGGGGATGACTTCTCCTGCATACACTTAGATAGCTCCTCAAAGCACTCAGCCCCCTTCTTGCTCTTCTTGGATTTGTTGGACATTTTCCGGTTCCGTGTCTGGATTCCTTCCTTCTTCATGGTCAGCGGCCTGTTAACCTGGACACAATCACCAAACTTTCAGGATGTTGAGTTCCCTTCCCAGAGCATACCCCACTCCATCCCACCCACCTCACACTGGAAGGCATAGCTGGGCTACAGGTCCCCAGGATGCCAGAAACAGTGTCCTTCAACCTACCCCTAGCATTCCCCATGAACACCTTCTTTTCCCTGCAGTGTCAGCATTTCAGGAAGGGCTTTTCACTGAGTGGGACCTGCAGCAAGTGACCTGAACACTTCAGGACTTTCAGCATTTCTGGCTCCTACCCACTAAATGCCAGCACTGACCCCCTCCAGACAGCCAAGCTCTGTCCCTCCCCGCACAGTTTTAAAAGCATAGATACCACCACTGAGTCCTCCTGGACATTTCTAGTCAGCCCCTGGGCAAGCAGAAGCACCCCTTCTTATAGGAGCCCTTCTGAGGCTCAGGGCCAGCAGCAGCAGCAGCTTCCCAAGCCAAGCCAAGCTGAATACTGTGGCTGGACCTAGCCAGGCAGCACAAAGCACAGCGTCCCTAGAGAGGAGTGGGGCGGGGCACTCACGTTGTGCAGCTTGTAGTAGAGGCCACAGGCGTTGCAGACCGGGTCTCCGTTTGCATTTCGGCGCCATAAGGTGGTGGTTGTTGTCTGACAATTTGCACAACAGGTGCCTGCTCTCCTGGCAGCCGACTAGGGGGAGGGGAAGCGTCAGTCGGCAGCTCCCACGCCCCACCTCGACCTCCCTCCCAGACCCCTGTACACTCCCCAGCCCCAACCAATTTAGCCCAGGAGCAGTAAATCTCACAGGGGAATCAAAGCATCTCAGAGCTGGAGAATTTTAGAATCTGAGAACTGAACAAGAGTCACAGAACTTTAGAATAAAGAACTCTCAGAAGCCCGATCTTATAATCAACAAGAGCTAGAAGGGGAAAGCACTTATCTCCTCCAGACTCCCATCAGGCTAACTCCACAGCCAGGGAAACCAAGGCCCCCAGGCGGGGCCAGCTCAGTCCCCTCAAGCCCCTGGGTCTGGAGCTGATTTACTGTCCCCCTCCGACACCACTCCACCTCAAAAATCCCTTTTCCTGGGTGAGTCAGCGACCCTGGGGCCAGAGCAGGGAGGGCCCATACCATCCGGGACAACAGAGGGTCCGACTGGGACTGTAAAATGACCCTCTTAGAGTGCCTAGAGCTGCAATGTCCAACAGGGTGACCACTAGCCACATGTGGCAATTTAAATTAAGTTTAAACTACCTACAACTTAATAAAATTAAAAATTCAATTTCTTCAATTACACCAGGCACATTTCAAGTGATCCACATGTGGCTAGTGCAGATATACAACATTTCTACTAGACAGTGCTGGTCACGAGATCCTGATTTAGCCCCCAAGTCCCCAAGGTTCTGTCCAGCCCCTATACCTCAAACCTAAAGACTCTAAGCCCCCAGCCTGGCTGAACACTACAGTTAAGTTTCCACAGAAGGGTGCTAAGCGCTCTGTAGGGAGAAGGCACAAGGGAGCCTTTACCCAAGAAAGCAGAGGCCCACCAGCAAACAGAACGAGTCCTCCAACACTTCCCAGAGCACCGTGGACTGGAATCCACCAGCCAGCCAGCAGGCCTGGGGGAGGGGAATGTGTGTTGTGTGTGTGTGTGTGTGTGTGTGTGTGTGGCCAGCAAAGTCTGGACCGGCCCCAGGCCTGAGCCTGGTCACAGAGGGGACCAACCCACGGCAGAGCGGGGGCAGGGAGGGGTGAGTAAGCAGCCCCAAACTGGAATTCTGACTCAGGGGCCAACAACGTATCCTCCTCACCCCTACCCCCACTCAGCAGCCCTTACCCTAGCCCTCACTCCGGGGTAAAATGGGTCCCCAAAGGGGCCAATATAGGCCTCATAAATCACTTCGCCCTGAAAAAAAGGTATTTATTATTCTTAGCATTTTACGCATTATTTGCAGAGTATTAGAGATTTCAAAACAGCCCAGCAAGAGGCAGGCCTGAGCCGAGGAGACTCTCTAAAAACTCGCAGAGTCCGGAAACAGATACGCGAAGTTTCCTTATCTTCGGGCTGCAGATGTCCGGATAGGAAACTCCGGCAGGAGATCCGAAAGGGCATTTTTTTAAAAATCACTCAAATGAAAATACACAGTATAGGTGACTCCATGGAAAAATAATAAAGGGCAGGTTTTTTTGGTGGTTGGTGTGAGTGTGTGTGTTTTATTTAAATAAGCATGAGGAGACTATGTGTGTTGGAAAGCAAGGCAGAACTGCCCTGAGCAACGAAGGAAAATTACTTCATGGCCCTATTTTTAAAAAGAGTTAAACAGAGGCCAAAGGATGGGAGCTGGGCCCTTGGACTCAACCTGAGCGGGAGGGGCTACCTGGTGGTCCAGTAATCCCTCCAGGCCCGGAGGGCAGCAGGGAAAACCTAGCGCTACATCCAAGTGATTTTAAATGATAAAAGGGAATTTCAAGTGGCAAATCATCTGCACTTGAAGGGTTTAATTTTTATGTCTTTATTTTCTTTAACTGTCTACTCTTGCCCAGGTTACCATCCACAGGATCAGAGTTGGGACACCGCCCCTCAAATGCCAGCTGGCCCAAGCCCACCACCTACCAGTCTCCGCTTAGGCTTGATGAGTGGCCGATTCTGCCCATTCATCTTGTGGTAGAGCCCACAAGCGTTGCACAGGTAGTGGCCAGTGCCATCTCGCCGCCAGAGAGGGGTGGCTGTGGCCCCACAGTTGACACACTCCCGGCCTTCTGAAGGGAAACGGGGAGAAACAGGGAGCCTGTTTAACCTACACGGTTGTAGGGAGGGAGCTGGAGCAGGCAAGCGGGTACACTGGAGGCCAACGCAACCCTTGAAAGATGCCCAGTTTGCCTCTGCTGATGTATAGCAGGGGACTGCTTTTAGTCTCCACCCAAGCAGGAGGAGGAACCAAAGGGTCTTCTCCATGGAAGGTGGGTAAAGTTTAATGCAAATGCCCCTCTTCAAAATTCCCAGAGCTAGAAGGAAGGGGAATGAGAAGGGGAGGAGTGGGGCCAGAGCCCCAGGGATTCTGGAAAGATCAGCAAAGGATATTTACAACAAACTTTGCCTAGGGCAATGGCCGGAGTCACCAACATGGCCTGGCTGGGCCTGCAAGGCTTTCTGCCTCCCTCAACTCCCACCCATTTGCCGACTCCACTACTCCTCTTTCTCCCCAATGGCCGTCTGCCATTCCCCTCACCACTGTTCTGTTTTCTGTCCTCTTATTCCACCCTGTCTTTCTACTTCTAGTCCAGGGTAATTCTCTTCTCTCTCCTCAACTTTTTCCTCTTCTGCGGAGGCCCTAAGATTCAGTCCTAAAGTAGCATTTAAGTTGTTCTGTAAAATAAAATAAATAATAAGACCTTTCATTTTTGGACTAAGTGGCCTTGTGTTTTGGTTAAAAGACCATCTGGAACTGAAATAAAAAGTAAAACAAACTTGGAAAAAAAGATTAAGACAGGTCTAAAGAGAACGTAGCAGACCGCAAACCCCTGGACTGTAGTGGGTGCCGGCAGGCAGCATGGACGGTAGCTGCCTAGCATCAGGTTACCTGGGAAATTTTCCCCAGTTTTGTTTAAACTAAATTGTCAATATATACAAGCAAGTGAAGGGGGTTCCTGGACCCAGAAGTAAAAGTTTTTAAAAATCTTTTCCCTTAGCTTCCCGGCTTAAAAGAATCAGAAAGAGGCAGCGGCAGCAGGCACCCATAGAGAACACTTAGAGCTCTGCAGCTAAATTGGTGACAAGCCCAGCCTGGGCCTGGTTAGGTTCTTATAGGCAAAGGAGCAGAGAGCACCAGTGGTTTAGTCCCTTGAGTGCCCTCAGGGAGGAGAGAGGAAAGGACAGCCAGGAGCAAGGAGCAGAAAGGCATGCAAAATGGGAATTTTGCTCTGGGGGAAGTCTCCTAAGGAGATCAGGAGCCATCAAAATCCCAAGATCTGACTGACTGAGTTGGGGAACCAGATTCCTTAAGGATGTGGAGCCTCAAAAGTGCACCTGTGAACAGGCACACACACAAACACACACATACATACTATGCGCACACAGACTCACTTCTCTCACCTACCTATTCCATTCTCACACTAAATGCACTAATTAACAAGGCAATTTTAATATTCGTTTAAGATATAGGGAAGCATAGGGGGGCATTCCTCTTCTGCTCTGGCGGTGGCTCATCTTGGAGAGGATGAATGAAAGTCAAAGAGGGAATTGAACTTAAAAAAAGAGTAAGGTTTAGGGTCCTCTCTCTCATTCTGGGGTCTCAAATATCTGTTAGGGGCTATTGGAGGTTGGTGCTACCCACCCCCAGATGTGTGAATCTGACACTAACCCCTCTTCCAAATCACAGCCCCTACAAAAACACAGCACCCTTGCTCCCATGTGTCTTTACCTGAACAGGAGCGTGCCTTGCTGCGCTGCTTAGGAGTGAAGCTGGAGGCAGGGCCACCCAAGAAGCCTCCAGGGTGGAAGAGTCCGCTGCTGTAGTCATGGGCAGTGGCTGGTACATAGGAGGGGTAGGTGGGGATGGGGTGGTGTGTGGCAGGCTGGGTGCCCATGGCTGCGAGGCCTGGACGAAGGGGACTGCTGCTTTCCATCTTCATGCTCTCAGTTAGTGACACCTGGTACTTGATGCCATCCTTGTCCTCTCCCCGAGCTGCACTGCCCCCTGCAGAGGACGAGGCTGGGGAGGCAGCGCCTGTGGTGCTGGGGTCAGGAGAAACTTCTTTGGGTGGTGTGGGTGGGAATCCAAAGAGATGGGAGCCTGAGTGGGCTGCCGTGGGTGTGAGGGAGGCCACTGAGCTCCCACTGCCTCCTCCACTCCCACCGCCTGCCCCTGCATACACAGAGAGAGGGCCTCCAGGGCCTCCAGCAGCTGAGGGGTGCAGTGGCGTCTTGGAGAAGGGGCTCACGGTCCAGGGATTGTGGTGGTGAGCTGCGGCAGCAGAGAGGGCCGCTTTGCCCCCATCCAGCCAAGGCAACCCAGGGCTGTGCAACAAGTGTGGTCGGCACATCTGGCTTCCCGTCAGGCGAGCTTTGGGTCAGAAGGAGAGAGCACACACAAGAATCACATCCCCAGTCCAGCACACAGGACGGCAACTCACACACCAACCAGCAAACTACCTCCCCCCAAAAGAAAACCAGAAACATAACACCCCAACCGGCAATAATCAGGAATGTCAGTCAGGAACTGAGAGGCAAGGTGGCCCAGAAGGAACCCCAGGGGACAAGGTTCAGAAGGAAGCCCCACCGGCCAGTTGGAAATGGGCCGAAGCCCAATGGGCCCCAAACCCTTTTCTAGGGCCAAGGCCCACACATCGCAGCTGATTTCTCAGCTGCCCCAACTCCTGCGGATCCCACATCCGGGAAGCAGGCCCTGGCCCTCCTCCCCTGCCTTGGCCTGGTCCGAGCGCCTGGTTTCCAGCTACCCACAGGCCGGGGCTCACCGTGCGCGGGGCTGTAAGAGACCCGTGCCCGCGCGTGGGCCGGGTTGGCGTAGTAGGGGTTGCCCTGCGAGTCGAGATGGTTGAAGAAGACATCCACCTCGTCGGGCGGCAGCAGCTGCGCGGGCTCCATGTAGTTGTGTGCCAGGCCCGGGTGGTGCGAGTCGGGGTGCTGCGCATTGAGCACCGCGGGGTGCGCCATCCAGCGCGGCTGTTCGGGCGCCACTTCCATAGCCAGAGGCGGCGGTGACTCGAGATCTGTGTGGAGGCAGCAGCAGACCTGCGCGACCGAAGGGGGCGTGAGGGGCGCTGTCAGAGCCCCAAACCCCCCAATATCCCCACGCGACGTCCAAGCGCCGCTGTGCTGAGGGCCAGGCCACTCCCGGGTGGGAGGAAAGCGCGAGGTTCAAAACGAAAGGAAGGCTGGGGAAGGGGGTTCAGCTACGCACACTTACATCGTGGCCCCTAGTCCCAGAGGCACACACCCGCGCACACGGAGTCACACTCGGGGACAAGCCGCGACACTAGTTATCTCAACAAACGCATACAAAAGTTGCACTTCAGTCAGAAACACTGAATCCCCACCCTCCCAGTACACAAACCCATAAACATAAACTAAAAGTTGGAGACAGGCGCCCAAGCACCCACTGGAGCACATGATCACAGCGACACGCACACACCTACACTTGGCGCCGGCCACACAATCTGAACTGCCCCCCCCGCACCCGCCAACTCGCAAACGCAGCCCCGGGGGCCGAAAGCCAGTACCCGGCGGCCTAATCAAAACCTCTCGCCAAGGCACACCACAGCAGTCACCGCAGTCTGGTCCTGGCCCCCAAGCCCTTGAGGCCCCAAGCCCCCGAGCCCCCTTGAAGCCAGGCGCTCCCCAGGCCGCAGCTCGCTCGGACACCACAAACTTACACACGCAGAGCCAAGGGAAGGGGGGTGCGGCCGCAGAAGGTGAGCAGCACCGGCAGAAGCCCCGGGGACCGCTGGCCCAGGGACTGCGCGTCGGACAGCTGGTGGGTTTCACGCAGTACAGGCAAAGGGCAGCGCGCGCCTCGGCCTCGGGCCCGACGGGCTCCGGCCACTCGCCATCCTCTGGCCGCCCTGGCGCCAGCTGCCGACTCCTGCACAGACATGAAGCGGGGGCCGCGCACGCCTAAGAAGCCGGCGCCAGCCAATCAGGGCCGCCCGCCGCCCAGCCTCCACCTCCTATTGGCTGCGCCCCCAACTCAAGGTCCGATGGACTCCAGGACTGACCCGCCGGCCTGCCCCCCTGCAGCCCGCCGGCCCCCTCCCAGCACTCTCCCAGCGGCTTCTGCGGCCAACGCCTCCTCCGCCGGACCCTCGCCCTCGAAGTCCGACCCTTGTGCCCGCTCTCGCAGACAGTCAATCCCCCCAACTTCTGCGGTCCCCTCTCAATAACTACACGCTGGGCCCCTTCTCCTGCAACCCTCTGGGTGTCCTGTCCCCGAGACCCCACCTCCTTTACCACTGAACGTCGTCGGCCCGAGTCAACATACCTATCCAAACTGTTCCCTACTCACTCGGGTACTGACTAGGTGAGGGACAGCGGGGCCTGAGAAAGGGGCAGGAACCTCAGGCTTCTGGAGAGCACCTGGGCCTGGGACACAAGAGATCTAAGCCGTCTGACAGAGTAGAGGTGTCCAGGCCAGAGGTTCCAGAGAGAGAAAGGGAGCTGTCCCTACTCCGGCGTAGCCTTTGCAGACCAACAGGCCAAACTGCCTGGGGCCACACTGTGAAGACCCGGACTGGCGCCAGCGCAGGCTGGAGGAAGAAGGCCCCGGGCAGGAGAAGGCTTTTATTTTTCCTCAAGGGGGTCCCCGAGTTGGCCCAGGCGAAAGGAGGTGGTTTGAGTACTCCATCCCCTAGGTCACCTAGAACTACTTTCCATACCTCTCCAGCCCCAAGATCTAGCTGTGTGGGGTGGCCTGGCCCAGTGTACAGATCTCCTTGCTTCTTCCCCACTGTACAGATGGGGAAAACAGAGGCTGGAAGGGAGCCTGAGGCCGAGTAGGGGGCATGTCACGCACAAAGAAACTTGGGGGGCCGAGACAGGTGCGAGGTAGTGAGGGAGTCAGCGGTGTACCGGCCCTCTTCTTTCACTGGGCCCGCGGCTCTCGGGTGGAAGTTCTGAGGGATCCCAGGTGGGTCAGGGGCAGGGGGAGTGCGGGGGTCTGGCCACCCTCGGGAGGGAAGGGGGAGGGGCGGCGCGATTGACAGTCGGTAATTGGGTAACTGGAGGCGGCTTCTCCGCCCGGGCGGCCCCGCCACCGCGACGCCGGGCCCCTGACGTCACCCGATTCGCCAGGAAATGAACTTTTTAATAATCCAAGGAGGGAGGAAAGCCCTCGGCCCCCTCAGGTCGGCTCCGGGGGCGTCCGGCCCGGCCGGGTTCAGCGGGCGCGTTCCCCTAGCCCCCTCCCAGACCAGCTCAAGGTAGCGCCAAGGGGGCCGCGGGCGGGGACCTCTGCCTGCTACTGCTTATGGCTGTCCGTCAGTCCGTCCAAGGCCCAGGCACAGGTAAAGACCAAGGCCGGGGGTCCGCAAAGCGTCCAGGGCTACACACTAGAGCGTCTCGGGCCCTTCAGGAGCCGCCTGCCCGGCAGCCGGCCAAGTCTCCCTCGGGCTCCGTTTCGCTCTGAGGCGCGCGGGGCCCGGGCTACTCAGAACTCCCGTCTCCAGGAGAGGAGGCCAGCACCCGCCGGGAAAGCCAAGCCGAAGCCGGGAGCTGAAGCAGGAGGACGCGGGCGCTGGGCCTAGATGGCCAGTTGGGGCAGGTGAGCAGCCGGGTTTGCGCTCCCCTCAACGCGCGCGACTTGGCGGGGTCCAGCTGTGCCTCCGTACGTTTCTCTCTCCGTCTCCCTACCTCTTGCTTACGATTCTGCTCCAGTGTGGAAAATGAGATCGCCGAGGAGCCTCAAGCCGGCTTTGCGTCCCCGCAGTCTAGAGTGAATCTCTCAGACCCCCGCGGCCCCAGGGACAATCCCGCGTGTCGGGCAAGGCTGCCTTGCTCTGGCTCGAACCGCGGGGCCCAACGTCTGTGCCCGACCGGCTTGCCGCGGGCGGAGGGGCAGCGAATGTGGGACCAAGCGGAAGCTTCCCGCTGGGCAGCGATCCGCGCCTCCGCTGGCAGGGAGGTGGCCGCGCCGCGCCCGCGGAAAGCAGGTAATTTGCCTTTTTCCTTTAAGGGCGCGGTTTGATGATCCTCCTCCCTCTCGGTTCTGAGTGGCTTTCGAGCTTCAGAACCACGAGCTCGGCCTCAAGCTCTTCCCGAGAGGCGTCCTGGCCATCCCAGGGGTGGAGGTGGCGGGTGCCGCGGGACCCTCTGCCCGAACGCCAGCTCCTGCGGTGCCCGCAGACCTGGCGCAGAGCGGACGGGGATTTAATTACCCTGCTCGCCGGCTCAGAAAATCGCCGTGCGGAGGGGCTTAGCAGGGCGGTTAAGCGATATTCGAACTGAGGCCTCCGGAGACCCGCACCAGCTTTCCTGCCTGCAATCCCAGCGTACAGAAAAGGGAAAGGCGCTCTGCAAGGTCCCCGGAACCCCTGGGGATGCCTTTCTCTGAGACGCCACTGGTGGCCAGCTCGGCCGAGGCCTCTATCCAAAGATGGGAGCTCCTGCGTTAGACACGGGACTGCCTGCGTTCTCTCGCAGAAAAGAAACCGCCTGAAAGAGAAAAGCACGATGCCGTCCGTGTAGCGGGGCGCCACCCTGGCCAATAAAGGGGGCCCCTGAGTCCGAGAGAGAGAGAGAGAGAGAGAGAGAGAGAGAGAGAGAGAGAGAGAGAGTGTTTGTGTGTGTGTATGAGAGAGAGAGAGAGAGAGACAGACCGACGGACGCCAGCCAGGCGCCTGGCCCACTATGCAGGCGGAGCCTTGTCCTCCCACCGCGGCCCCAAACAAACGTCCGAGGAGGGCCAGGGCAGTCCCCATGATTCGGCTGAGGGGCGCGGGGCGCTATCCCGAGCGGATTTATTTCTCTCATCTTACGGCCTGGCCTTTTGGGGTCCTTTGGATGCCTTCGGAGGGGACACGTTCCCTTTCCCAATTTTCTGTTCGTTCTGAAAGGTTGTTAGAAACGTGAGCCTCGGCCTTTGATCACGCCAAGAAGCTGTCACTTTCCCTACATGGGAACAAGATTTTACGTAGCCCTGGGGAAGGGCGACGACGAAACTCAATTTTCTAATCATTCTTCTCAAGTGACCCGAGACTTCCCCGGGAGCAAGCGTCCTTGCGGCCCAGGGTGTTTTCACCCGGAGGCTGGGAGCGCAGCACATCCGGCTCCCGGTTCTAGAGCACCTCGAGGGGCCTCTCGGAGCCGCCCAGGTCTCCCTGCCGCGCCGACCGGCCATACCGCACCCTTTGTTTAAACTTCGTTCATTCGAAGCGGCCCCTCTGGGACCCTAAGTTTGTTCTCTTTTTGTAACCTAATTCTCCCCTTTTCCTATGGGCAGCTAATTGACCGGCTACGGAGGCGGTTCAAAGAAATCGATTTGTTTAGGAGCTGCCTTCCATAAGCATGTTTAATTCGTAGCCCAGCTTTCCCCTAACCTCACACTGCCAGTGTACCTTGAGGGGTTCTGCAGGGGGACGGATTAACCAGAGTGGTTTAGAAGTCCCCTCCAGGGATAGGCCTCTGGTCTGCTCAGGGTTCCAGGAGGGCGGACTACGGCTCCAACGGCCCCTCCTGTTCTTGGAGGGTCACTCCTAGCCCCCCACATCAGAAGATTCCCTCGCTCCCGACCTCCTTGCCGGTTCTCCCAGTCCATTGGCGTTCTGGGCCTTTTGGAGCTATAGATACCGGGCCCAGCGCCCTAGCTGTCTGGCGCCCTGAACCAAGAAGCTTCAGAGATCCTGTATCTCCTTACCCCCACCCCCAAGTCGAGCGTTCTCCCCCAAGGCCCTGCAAGAGAGCCTCAAACCATCGGGTAGTTTTTTCCCCTGCTTGAGCAGCCACCGTTTACTTAGAGAGCCCGGCGGCCTGACAACTGGTAAATCCGTTTCGTTAGACGCAATTTGTTTGCAATTTGTTGACCTGGCAGAGAAACGTGCTAGGAGCCTGGGCAGCTGCTCTGGCCCTACCTGCTTCTCTAATTTTGCCTCTGAGAAACGAATCCAAGCGCGAGGTGCCTGTGTAGACCCGACCCCAGCTACGGCGGCTAGGCAAGATGTTCCCCACCCCAGGAGACAAGGTTTTTCCCAAAACAACGAATTCCCTTCCGCGTTTTCCGGGAATGGAGTGCCGCC